AACATGTTCTACTCGACCAACACCATGGTTACTGCAAGATAAATGTTGGGGGGCGGAAAATTAGTCAAGGAGCCACTTCGGTACATGTCGCGGTAATCGGTCCGCTTCTTCTGGTTTGATTTTTTCCCTCGCCGTCTCGTCCGTCTGCTGCCCCCCTCCAGCCCCATTGTTACCATGTCTGTGCGACATCTTTCCGGGCTTGTTCCTCGCTGGAGCACTCGGTGACGGCTAGCCTCCACTTTACTCTTTTGCCGGGAGTTCATGAACATGTTAGCCTCCTGCAGTACCCCCGCATGCCATGGTACACCCCGCTTCACCTTCGATGCTCCGCCCAAGTTAATTACGGGACTCCAAAAACGCATGGCTCGGCGTCTGTAGATCCAACCTTTGCCTTGAACTCATAAAGGCGTCATTCAGGCACACCTGCCAGTTCTGCTCCGGTTCCCCCCTGTCTGGCCTTCCCCCCCTACCAGTTCGCCAAGCACAACCGTTTCGGGAGTCACCCGCCTGGCTGCCTTGCAAAGCTCCCGCGAAAAATAGGCGCCGTTGCTGGACTGTGGCTTCTACGCTCTGGCACCCTACCCTTTTCAGAGGTTGAGCGTAGGAAAGCTGCCGGTTGATGTCCTTCTTACGCTGTTCACCGATAACTCGCAGCAGTATGGTATCTGGTGTCACCCTCAGTACCAGGCTGTCTCTTTGCAACGATTAGTCGTCATCGCTTACCAGCAACCGCGTTTTTGAAACAGGTTGTTTCTTGCAGTGGCTGATGTACACCAGCAGCCGTTTCATCGAGATTCGTTTTCTCCGTGCGACATATGGCCTTGGTTCATTCATTGAAAGACATCCACAATACGGTTCGTTGGTATAGCTCCCACCACAAAATGTGCTGCTCCGATTTCAGTAAAATACTTTAGTCAGTTTCTGCGCCTGAAAGTAAGTGAGCTGACACGTAGATCAAGATGCATCAATAGGATGTACGAGCACCCACCACGGACTCTGTAGCCGTCGTTTTGTAGCGACTCGTTGCTGGGCGGATGGAGGCAATCGCGCTGTAAACCAACAACCTCCGACGGCATGTTCCACTTGGAGTTTTGCATGGCCATGGTCATTGATCATTTTTCAGGATGCAGGTTAACGTTCTAGATTCCTCTCAAGACGCACGTAAAGAAAGAGGACCAGAGCGCTTGATTTGCTTTCTTTTTCGAAACACTTTCCGATCGTTGGAGGAGATTTGTGGACAAACAGGGCTATACTGGGTGCTCGGACATGGTACTTGGACATGTTGATGGCACTTATCCCCTTGTTGTATCATCCGGGGGGCCTCTGTTAACTTCTGGACAAACGATGTTCTCTATTGTCTTCTCTTCTACCCCCCTCCATGGAGGCTTAGGGGCCTAACCTTCCCCCGTTAATGACCCTGGGAAGGTGCCTCAGGAGGTCAACGGAGGACAGACCCCTCTGGTGCATGTATTTACAAGTGCTTGTTTCGCTTCCGTTCTTGCAAAGATTGCCAAGCATGGGAGGCCACACTTCTAAAACGCGTACTGCGAATCGACACACGTATCCCCGTAGACGGGATCACTCTTTCAAGAATGATCGAGAAAAATGGAAGGACAACGGCCAGAGGTCCTCTTAAATGTTACCGGTGAAACACCGGGGGCCGACAAGAATTCCCAAAATGAATGATCGAGAGAGATGATCTGTCCAGAGAGTAAACGACAAGTATTCGGTAGGTACCAGGTGGGGAAAACGTCTCCCTTTGTCGATTTAACGGGGGAATTGAAGGAAAGTGCCGGGTTAGTATACGACGTAAGGGCACCTAATTGGAGGATACGTTACCTGGATAGAGACTGGGAACAGCTGGACGAGCGAGAAAAAATCCGAGGGAAGCAGGAAGACCGTTCTCTTCGCGTCATCTTCAATGCATGAGGAGACAGCATGTACATTCGTGTTGTACAAGGAAACCATAGGGGGAAATAGTCTAGCATGGGAAGTTAAACCTATCTACAGACTTACTCAGGTTCACGTGACGATTCGACGCTCCTCGCTTTTCTGAGTTCCCAGCGATGGGCACCTCTATATAGCATAGCCCAAGGGCGAAAAATGTCAATAAATATTGCACATAAATGGTCTTCAATCGGCTTTCCGTCGAAAGCTGGCCTAGAGCTGAAATTACTATGGTATGTATGCCCAGCCATCTCTTGCGCCCTCGTGCTTACCGCCCTCCACGCTGGTCGCCCCGGTGGTATAGGTTTCCTCGTAATTCTCTAGTCGCAGAGGTCGTGAGTTCGGATTCGTATGGAGTAAAAAATTCACGAAAGTTGCGGGTGTAGCTAAATAGCTCTCGTGAGTACTAAACTTCGACGTTAGCACCACTGACGACGGAAAGGGATGGCTGGACCCTTCTCGCGATAAAAATAAAATTCAGCGCGCACCGCAGGCGGAAGGTGGGGCATGAAAAGAAATGAAAAGGAGAAAAAAGCCCTGGTGTTTACCCCCTCCTGTGTGACCCTGGATGGTTGTAGTTGTACGAAAAAGTACACTGAAGAGTGTAGTATTCTACATACGCTGAAAAGTGTAGTACACGTCTCACCACGAAACATGGGGGGACTGTCGCCATTATAAATAGGACAAAAACACACACACACACAACACGCTAGCCACAACGCAACGCGGCCTGTGAAGTGGAGCATTCCCTAGCCACGAACCCGAACCATAAAATAATCGTCCTTTTTCTCATGGCTGGGAGGGGAAATGCCTACCTGCCGCTCGTCGGGGGTCAGACTATGACAAGAGTTTTCAGCTTTTTGGAAGAACCACAACGGCTTGCTCCGACATATCCGTCACGCAAGCCCCAGTCTCCATTCAGCGCATCGCTGTTCATAGACTTCAACGCTCACCTCCTTTGCAACACTGCTGTATGTATAGATACATGTGTATTTTACACACAATAATACATGATACAGCCCACATGTGCACGATACACTCGCGCTTGCTGCACCCTGTTTGTTGTGCACCGCTTTCAAGCACTTTGGAAAAACAACGAACGGTTTGACCGAGTGGATTATTGGCTCTTTCGGAAAGATACGAGGAATACATGGGCAAGAAATTAGACAGCTTGCGCCGCCTCGCTGAGCGAAGCGAGTCACAAGATGAATGGACGAATGGAATTGGCGTTCAGCATGTTGAGATTTGTATATATATTTCGTTGTGTCTCGTCGTGTTTATCGAGACAAAAAGAGCACTGAGAAGCGCGACCGACAGGGAGGATACTCCAAACTTCATAGGTCTTTCAGAAATACACGGCACGCCACTGCGGCACTGCTTGTAGTTGTTCAATGATTCCTGAACGATGCAGGACACACCTCTCAAAAGAGTCTACCTCTCCATAACAATTTGAATGCCTCCGCATGGAGTCCACGAACTGGACACACGCGCATTCTTCTTGGCGTGGAACGGGATTTCGGTCGGCACGCAACGAGCGTTGGTGTTGAGCTTCCAGGTATAGTGTGGTCTGGCAAGTGGCACGGAATGGATGCGGTGCTCAGTGGCCTATCAAACTTCTCGGAGCATTAATCTCGGTTTGTCCCCTGTAACATGTGGTACACATGCACGAGCACGTTTTGTTACTGCGAGGTTTGTCATCTGCACTGCAAAGATCCAAGCACACAGCTACGTACTCCTCCTGTTGAACCTATAATCCATACGTACTTTCAGAGGAATGCATGACACCCCCCCTTCGTAACGATGGGTGTCATAAAAGCACCACAATAACGTTTCACGCACCATACGGAGGTAAAAAAGCCCGCACAAAGAAGCAAAAGTACAGAGTGCGGAGGGTGCGGCGTACGGAGTAAAAGGGCGCAGCAGTTCGTTCCGCAAGCACTGGAAGCGAGCACTGAGAAAGCGAGCATGGAGTCTACGAACTGGACGCGCGCCAACTGCTTGTTGAGGGAGTAGGTTTACTATCTCGTTTGTTGTTGCACTACCTCTAGCTCTCGACGTAGTTGTCGAAGCACATCACGCTCTTCATGCATCTCGACGGGAAAAACAGAAACACACAGCATTCAGCAGCTGTCAATCATCAAAGAGATCCGTCCCGCCGCCGCAGTAGCAGTCATATTATTACGCTCAACGGAAGTCGACTACTGAATGATACTCCCTCTACTTGACAATAGGGTGTACGTTGTATACTCTGTTTTTGCAGCACAACAGTTTTGTGCACCTCACGGCGGCCGCGGTGGTAACACACGCTTCGTTGAAAATAATCAACATCACAGCTATTGTATCATACAGCAAAGTGCGGAATGTGGAGAAGAAATGTCCGGCAGTCACACATTCGCACGTCGCGGTCACTCGCAAGCTGAGAATTATAGGAGAGACAAATAGATAGACAGACAGACACACAGGGGCAGAGACAGAGCACGAGACATGCAGACAAGAGAGCCATATGCCATCAATTGACCTCCTCAGGCGGCCTCCCCAGGGTGTCAGGGCGGAGGCTAGGACCTAAGGCCCCCATGGACGGGGGATGAAAGGAAAGACAAGAGAAGAGAGTAAATCATGTTCAGACATCAGCAGAGCCCCCCCGGATGGGACAACAAGGGGTACCACCAACATATCCAGCTATATCTGAGCCCCCAGCAGAGCCGTATCCGCAACGCCCCCAAGACAGACAGAAGATACAACCTGGTTCAAGGAAATGGATACAAGAGCATTTAACATAAAAACATCACGCCGTTTTGAAAGCTTGGACTTTGAAGCTTTGCACACATGTACATTGGGGGAGAACGAAACGCCGTGAGGAAGAGCCTTTTGTCTTTTCTCTGTCACGGGGTATTCGGGGTCCTAGAGGTTTCGGGGTCATGCGCTGCTCCTGGAACCCCGAAGAACCGGCGACCATTGTTGTTGTCTTCACATTAAACCGTATGTCAGTTGCTAAATGCCAAAATCTAGCAAATACTCTCAGCCCGTGGTCACGAAAGTACTAGAGCCATCTGAGGATCTAAAGAACACGCACACATATAACGAGAAAAAGGTATCCAAGAGCCTGAAAAGGTACACCTAAAAATCCTTGCAGTACCGTATGCGTGCCCAAATACTGAACTGCACGTCCGTCCCACCGTTCGACTACAGTAGCATCACCCCCTCCCTGTCCCATTCTATTATACCAAAACGTAAGATTGCCGACTTCAGCATACTGCTGTCTGAAGTGCTGTCTGTACAAAANTGAAAAGGTACACCTAAAAATCCTTGCAGTACCGTATGCGTGCCCAAATACTGAACTGCACGTCCGTCCCACCGTTCGACTACAGTAGCATCACCCCCTCCCTGTCCCATTCTATTATACCAAAACGTAAGATTGCCGACTTCAGCATACTGCTGTCTGAAGTGCTGTCTGTACAAAAACACGATGGTAGGCATGGAACAAGCAGCTGGCGGGGCACAAAGCTGCTGTCTGAAGTGCTGTCAGAATGTGTCTGCGTCCGTACACGCTCTCGTTGCTGTCCTTCCCAGTCGGTTCCTCGCTTTCTCCCTCGTTGCACTCAAGGTTCTTGGTCTGAAAAATAAAAATTCTCGCGCCGAAGGNGTCCCGCCTGACCTCGTCAGTGCCGACCCAACTCGACCACCACACGCACGCCTCGCGGCGGATGCGCAGCAGCAAAAAGGTTTCGGTCATCTCTTGAGGGTGAGTCTAGCCCTTCTCGCCAGGAAGACCCCCCCCTTCACTACAACCCATGTCTAAGCACAAGCTTGTCGAGGAGCGAGGTGAAGAAGGGAGAGGAAACCATGGAATGCAAAAAAAAAGGCTCCGCGCAGCGTTTTGCGCCAACCCAATGTACATGTGTTCAAAGTTTCAAAGTCTAAGGCCGAGTTGTACGGCTTGATTATTTCGGAATTTTTTTTTTGAAGGGAAAAAAGAGGCTGATCAAGCTCTTATGGGTCATAAACATGCTTCAGGACACGGTCTTGGCTCGTGTGCGACCAACAAGACACCGAGCGTCTTGTTTATGGATCCCTGCAGAGGGCATATGTATCATTGCACGCTATGGGCTGCAGTTTGTGGATGTCGTCGGCCAAAGGCCTCTCTCTGATGGCATGCGTTGTACACTTATCACACTCGACTCGGAGCAAGCAGCAGTAAAAAAGGCAACGTCCAATAAAGCCAAACCCGAACCACACTTCGGTTTACGTTTGCAGGCTTTGAGCAATCAACACTGGACAATACGCTTTGTTTCTAGGACGCGAGCAGAGGGTATGTGTACGATTACACGCCACTGGCCGCTCTTGATGGATGCCGTCGGCCGAAGGCCCCTCTCTGGCATGCGTTTGTGACTGGTCGCTTGTGACACACGAAGCAAACACGCGGCGGAACAAAAAAAAAAGTCAACACCGCAACACACGGTTCACGTTTTCAGGCCGCGTGCAATAAAAACTGGACAATTCGCTTTGTTTCTGGTCCGCGAGCAGAGGGTATGAGTATAACCACACGTCATTGGTTGCAGTTTGTGGATGTCGACGGCTTAAGGCCTCTCGCTCTAGCGTGCGTTTTCAACTGGTCACACATGCAGCAGGCGCAAAAGCTGCTCTTTCCGGCTGAAAGGCAAGAACGTCAGCAAAGCAATTTGGCAGGGTTGACATTTTTGGCTCGTGTGCGGTCAACACGACGCAGAACGCCCTGAATTTTAAATACCTGCAGAGGGTTTGTGCATGAACTCGTGATACTGGCCTCTGTTTGGCCAGCAGACGGTGTAGTCCCTCGTTCTGGCACGATCGGGGTGTGACGAGGGGGTACCCCCCCCCCCATTTCTAACAGCGATACTCCAACAGGATCGCTGTTGGAAAATTGGCCAATTTTCTAACAGGCCGGCCGGAATCGCTGGTAGAATTCGCCATTTTCCTACCCGTAAGACGCCCAAATAATTTTTGGGCTCTCGAGTAAGTGGGTTCTTTCCGGCTTTCCGGGATGTCTTTCCAGTGTTGCCCGCGATCACGCTCTTGCTCTGGAGCCGCTCTCTCAGCTGTATACCCTGCGCTTTGCGACAGAGCAGTTCGCAGCAGAGTGCGCGCGAGGTCAGGCGACGGCTTTCGCTACAAGCTGGTTCAAGGAAATGAACCCAAACTTATTCAACCACCGCTGTCAGACGAAATATGTTTAGAAAATAGACAGCTTGTATCATAGCGACTGACCCTCATGAGCAAGGGAACAAATCGCCGTGGCCGGAACTTCAATCACAGCCGTGGCCTCAATGCAATGACAATAAATGTGTCTCGGCCAATCAGAAGCCTTAAACATGATTCATTTACAAATATTGCATGCAACCCCGTACTTCCCACCTCTTTCTAACAACGCAGTTATGCAAAAAAAGGACTCCCATGCTCTAGGAGACCTTTAAAAAAAATAGCAATCGGTCATTGTGGAAGCGAGTTATGCCCAAAATGGTGCTTCGACAGCCGAGATTTGGCATCATCGAGTTTCCATGGACGGATTGCTCGTGGGATGAATACGGATAGAGTCTCGTGTTGGTGTGCGTTGAATATTTCGAAGGAAATATTGAATAGTCCTCAGATTTTAATAGCATGGTGCAAGAAAGTTGCCCAATCTGTAGAAAAAAATATTTGCACCGCTGGTCGGCGTATTGCAGTCCCGGCGTGGAACCACCGAAAGGGGGTTCCAAATATATGAACACGCCCTATTTTTTCGCTGCGCGATAGTTCAATGACCCTTTCCGAAACGTTTTGTAGCACCAGTTGTAACACTGGCGCAGTAGGGGGCTTTGCAGCGACAAAAGGGGCCCTGCGGACCTGATTTTTTACTAAAATCAGTAAGTAGATTGGGGGGAAATCAGGATGGGGAATACTTCACAACACAAACGCTGAAAACTTCACGACGTTTTCAGGAGATAAGCTGAGTCTTGCGGCTTGATTTTTTCCGGATCGGACTTTGGGGGGGGG